TTAGCTTCGCTGTCCTCACCCCTCCCCTTCTGATTACCACCACTCATTATTCCCAGTCCAGCCAAATGAATCCATTCCCAGAGCCCACTTTAGAGGCCAGCTGGCTAGGCACAGGCTCACAAATTTCCCAGTGTGGCACTGGAAAGACGCTCCAGGTTGGAAACAGAGAGACCCTGCATCAATAATTAGGAGCATTGGAAGAAGACACCTGATGCCAACCTCTGGTTTCTGCATGCACACACACTAGTTGCATATGTGCACCCACATGTACTCGAACATGCATATACACAATTTAAAAAATCATCCATATGGCTGGAATTCTTGAGAATAAGCCTTTAAGTACAAGTCACTCCACATGGTACTGTTACTTCTTTCTTGTCAATGACATTCACTAGTTGATGGAGTCACACGTAAGAAAAGAGACCAGGAGGGAAGCGAGTTGCCCGTATCTGCTGCTATACTGCAGGAATGTTTGCAAGCCTCAAAGATTTGCATTCAAGTCACACTTGGTTCTGGCCTGGACCCACCTTCCTCTGCCTGGCTCTGAAGCTTCCAAGCAGCATCTTTGTGGAAACCAAGAATGTGCTTTCTGTATTCACAATCGCCACAGGTTGTGCAGTCGCTCCTGTTGGAGACAACGCAGTTTTGCAGACATCTTCATCAATTTCAACAAATTATGATTTCAGAATGTCTTTTTCAATTCTTCCTATGGGCCCTGGCATGAGAAAAAACTGGAGGCTAGATCAGGACAGGTGTGAAAACAAAAGGAGTTTTGGCTTCTCCCAGGCGCAGGGCTATTCTCATCCGTTTCCAGTTTTACAGTGTTCCGGGTTAATACGAGGACCTCTGAGATCCTAGAGCTCCATCCTCAACTAGTTTTGGGAGCTTTGATGCTGTCTCTAACAAGCTTTCTGTATGGACTTAAAAGGCTCAGCTCAAACTACAGTAAGAAAGCAGCTCATTTTGGCAATATTGCTTCCTCTGAGCGTCCCCTCAGCCCATACTGCTCCTGGGTCCATTAAAAGTGGTTAGGACATAGAGGCCACAGTCAAGGGGGCTAGAGGATTCTCTTGACCAATGTTACCATAACTCAAGTAATGATCTAATGGTTAGGACTTTAGAATTACTATAAATAAGACAGACATGGTGGTGTATGCCTGTGAACCCAGCATTTGGGAGACTGAGGCAGGAGAATCAAGTGTTCCAGGTCAGCCTGGACTAGACAAGGAGCCCTTATCTAAAAATAAAAACAACACCAAAAAAAAAAAAAAAAAAAAAAACTAATAATAGCTAATGGACCCAGGGTTTAGGAAACAACAGGCTATGTAAAAGGAAGAAACACAGGGCTGGAGAGATGGCTCAGTGGTTAAGAGCACTGACTGCTCTCATAGAGGATCCCGGTTCAATTCCCAGGACCCACATGGTGGCTAGCAACCATTCATAACTCCAGTTCCAGGGGATCTGATGCCCTCTGACGTCAGGCACTGCAGGACACAGGTGCACTTACACACATGCAGACGATACACTCATACACATAAAAATGATAAAATATTTTAAAAAGAAACACAAGATGTGGTATACATATATGGTGAAATTATTTTTCTGTCTAAAAAGAGGACATTCTGACATACATCATAAAGTAATGTTGTATCAATCAGAATAAGGTCACAAACGAGACAAATACCATGAGCTTCCACCAACGGGAGAAACAGTCACGTAATGAAGACAGAACGTGGTGATGGCTGCCAGCAGCTGGGCGAGGGCAGCTACTGGTACCAGAGAGTTCCAGTTTTGCATGAGGAAGAGTTTTGGAGGTGGGTGAGGTGACAATTCCATGATAGAAATGTACTGAAAACCACTGAACAGTAATTTTAAAATGGTTAAGATGGCAAATTTTATGTTATGTATATCTTACCACCCCCAAATTTTTTTTTGATGAAAAGAAAGGAACAGCTTGAACACTGTGATTCTCGGCAGTGGTATCGGCATTGCATCACTGAGCCAAACGCAGCTACATAATAGATAATACATAATACGTCCAACTCCCAGTGTTCCTCCCTTCCTTCTGTTGAAGGAAGCATTTCTTCCTTTTGCCAGTGAGAACTGACGTCTTAAAGTCACTGGCTCAGAAAACACAGCAGCTTTTAGCCAGCTATTCACCACTAGGAACCACTTGAAGCAGGAGGACGCAAGGAAGAGGGATGACCACCAAGAGCTCCCCCATGTGGTACAGCATTTATCTCCGAGAAATACGAGATGGAAGGATGGACAGGGACACACACACACACACACACACACACACACACACACACACAAACACACATGCACAATCAGATTTCTTTTCCAAATTAAAGTTATAACTTTTTGTTATATTCACTATCACTGAACCAAGTATCAAGAAAAAAAATCCCATCATGAATACTGTCATTTTTCCTTTCCTCCAAGAGAAACTGTTCCCTGCACTTCAAAAAAAAAAAAACACCTGTTTTGTGCAATAAGTAATTCATGTGCTCCAAGAAAACCTGTTTTTCCATCAATCGTTTCCCACTAAAATGGCATTTGTTAAGATTTACAAGTACATCCTCACGGATGGGCATCCTAAGAAATCTTTCATGGGGCAGGCAAGAAGGCACAATAGTGTAAAGGTGCTTGCCACCAAGCCTGAAGACCTGAATCCCATCCCCAGGACCCAGATGGTGAAAGGAGAGAACTGACCTACACACATATTATGGTACATCTACGGGAATGCCCCCACAACACAAATACAGTCATTTTTTAAAGGAAATCTTTTATGAAAAAAAAAAGTTTCTAGCATGTGCAAGGCTCTGTGTAACGTGAAACTAAGAAAAGAGCATTTGGAAAGAGGAAGGGGATCAGGCAGAAAAGGGGGGGATGAGAGGGTAGGGAAGTGGATGATCATATACATTACATATATGTATGGAAATACAATAGAACCCATTATTTTGTACAGTACACTATTAATATGAAATAATTAAAAGGGGGATGCATACTTTTATACTAGAAATTTGACCCTTTGGGCCTGAAAGTACTTTACAGCCATGGTGTTTGAAAAGAATTTATGAAACTGTTTTAACTGTCCAGAGAATTTTTTTAAAAAACAGGCTTACTGCATGATAAAAATATATTCTTATAAGGATTTGGGTTGTTGTTTTTTTTTTAAATTTTATGTGTATGCATGTATTGCCTGCATGTAGGTAAGTGCACCCGTGTCATGCAATGCCAGCAGAGGTCAGAGGAGGCTGCTGGTTCCCCTGAGACTGGAGTTATGGACAGTTGTTAGCTGCCATGTGGGTGCTGGGATTCAAACCTGGGTCTTCTGCAAGAACAACCAGTGTTCTTAACCACTGAGTCATCTCTCCAGCCCCAGATTTGGGTTTTTTTAATTTATGTGTGTGTGCCTGTGTAAGTTTATATGCACCATGTGCACGCAGGTGCCTAGAGGCCAGGAGAGGGGGTCAGATACCCCCTCTGTGTGAAGTGGGCGCTGGGATCCAAACTCTGGTCATCTATAAGAGCAGTGAGTGCTCTTAACTGCTGAGCTATCTCTCTGGCCCAAAGATTTTATTTATATTTTTAAAGTATGTGTACATGTGTCTGCATGTGACAGCAGAGCCTGTGGAGGCCGGAAGAGAGCATCAGAGCCACCTAGTGTGGGTGCTGGAAACTTAGTTCCTCTGGAAAAGCAGAATGCACTTAACCAATGAACTGTCTCCAGCCCTGTCATGTATTTAATGATCTGCTTGTTTTAAGTTACATCTATTTATTTATTTGTCTTGGTGAGACAGGGTCTCCCTGTAGCCCCAGCTGGCCTGAAACTAGCTATGCAGACCAGGCTGGCCTTGAACTCAGAGATCCCTGACTCTGCCTCCTGAGTCCTGGGATTAAAGGCATGCAGCACCATGCCCACTTACATCTATTAATTTATGTACGTGCACACATTTGCCATGATGCCCATGTGGACATCAGAGGACAACATGTAGGAGTGGGTTCTCTCCTTTCAACATGTGTGTCTTGGGGATGGACCTCAGATCAGGCTTGGAGGCAGGTACCTTTACTGGCTGGGTCATCTGGTTAGCCATGATGTTTTTATTTTTAGCTTACACACCTCTTAAACACTGAGATCTCACTGGTGCTTCCTGGGCTTACTTCCTCTTTTTTTTCAGGAAACCCCAATCTGGAGCCCTTGACCCTGGAGTGCGCTAGCTGGTAGTGATTCCTAGTCTTGCTTAACAGCACAGACTACTTACACCACTGGGACAGCATAGGCAAAGTGAAACTCCGAAACTTAGTTTGAACAGAAGTATATAAACTCAGTGTGGAAATGCTATTTTACTCTCATTACACATCTTTAATTTTCAAAACAAAACCAAAATTTTATCAATAAATCTAATTTCTCAAAAATTCTTTCAAAACAGGTTTAGAAATGAGATAAATGGACAAAACCCCCTGATGTACACTTGGAGAAGGAAGAAACAAGTAACAACTTAAGATTTTAAACACAAGAACAGATTGAGTCAGCCTGGGTGGGCCACGCTGTACTCCTAGCACTGGGGGGGGGGGGGGGGGGGGGGAGTGGAGACAGGAGGATGGCAAGTTCTAAGCCAGTCTGGGCTACACAGCAAGACCCCGTCTCAAAAAAGTCAAACAAAACAAAAGAACAGAATGAGCAAACATGTCATCCAGGATTTCTGATTTCTCTGACTCTTCCCCTGGGTACCAGCTGCCTTCACACAGATCTGCCTGATGGAGTCGCAGGAATACTTCTTAAAAACCAAAGAATACCCAAAATGACAATCACCAGGACAGAAATACCTTGAGAACACCACACCAAAGCCAATGACAGCATCTTGGACTTCAATGGCATGGTTTTATGAGGAACTGCCATTCCAGCAGGGAAGGACCTCCACATAGATTTTCTACCAGTCACTTTAACCTGAGGCAGAGACTGAGGGCACAGCAGTCAGCAAGAGACTCAACACAAATCAATTCAAAAGTTTATTAGACATAGAAAAAAACTAACTCTTCAAAGTCAATTCTTGTTTAGTTCCCTGTAAAATAATACACTTGAAAAGAAAATCACTACACTTTTGGTCCAAGAAATGTTGGGTTTCTTCCTTCTTCTTCAGATGACAGATGGATGCAGCCGAATCTACGAACGCGTGTACTTGCCCCAAATGTGCAGCATAAATACAGAAGCGATGAACAGAAGACTCATAACCAACACTGGAACAGGGCCACTAGAAATAGGAAGACAAGGCATGCTTACTTTAATAATATTATACTTAATATTAAAGACTGCTGAGGGGCAAGGTGGGGTGAGGCTGAACTCCCAGTTCATCCAGGAACACTGTTTACATCACCTGGAAGCATTTCCCAAATAGCTATGGTGGGTAAGTGAGAGTGTGATGGTCCCCAGGCTGTGCTAATAAAGGAGTCGTAGTCTCCGCCTTTGCTGAAACACAGCAAACTACATACAAACAAAACCATCTGATGGCCTAGAGATCAGGCTCTTGGATTCTAATTTAATGCACTTAATATTTTTCCACAATGAAAACAAAATCTTCCCAAACTGTTCAGGTGCAAATGATCCATTTACCGAGCTTCTCAAATTAAGATGTACTGAGAGAACCATCACTGTCTAATTACAACCATTAGACACTGCAGATGAGGAGTATCACATGTAATTTACAAAGTGCTTTGTTTTTTGTTTGTTTGTTTTTGGTCTTTTTGAGACAGTGTCCCCAATAGCCACAGCTAGCCTAAATTTGCTATGGAGACCAGGCTGGCCTCAAACTCACAGAGATCTGCTTGCCTCTGCCTCCATAAACTGGTATTAAAGGCATGTGCCATCTCGCACAGCTTACGAAGAGCTTTTAAATCTATGATCCCATTTGACTTGTACAAATTCATGACATGGGTGAAACAAGAATTAATCTCATTTTAAACCTAAGGAAATGTGAACCTCAGAGGGATTCTCACTTGCCTAAAAACACACCAGGACAGACAGGAGAGGCTTGAACTCAAGTTCTCTGATTCTACGCATGATGCTCATTTTTACCTCCTCAGAGTTATCGTCATGAAGAGCAAACATTCTACGCAATGTACTGACTTGTATTCCTAGGTTCAGTGCAGGAAGGAAATAGACTTTTCTCACCTGCCTGTCCCTAAATCAAATGCTTTTCCTATTGAGCGCTGGCAAGTGTGGTTTTTAAAGGGAGAGCCCCAGGACTGTGAGCAAGCTGTGAAAACCTACTCTAGGTGCTGCCTCACTGGCTCCTGCCCACACCAGGTCTGTCTGGAGAATTCAAGAGGTCTCACTTCTCCTCCCAGATACAACTGGGGAGCAGAGAGCAGAAAGAGACTTCAGAAAAGGAATCTTTATAGTCACAGAGGCGGTGTCGGGCCCTGGGTGAGGCAGCAGGAATTAACAGACTGAACAAAGAGGACTCAGGGTCTCTGCTACGGCGCTTTGTTCTTCCAAAGTTTGCAGTTAAGGAAGAAAACATGCTGCTGCACTTGCACCTCCTCCCCTACCTCAAGGCACGACTCTCACAGGCTTGCCTGTGGCCCGCTATCCCCGTCTCCCAACCCGTGAAGGGTGGTTATTCAGTACCTATTCTATAGGGTTACAGACATACACAACAGATTTACAATAGATTCTCAGGCCATGCTGAGAGCTATCAGCCTATCAATCTTATTATCAACCTGAAAACATTACTAAACTCCCAGAATGAGCCCAAAATAGCTCAAAGATGTTGCCTGACTGTAGACTTGTAGGCAGGAATTCCTACAGTACCCTTTCATCAGAGCACCTATCTCTGATCTCTGATATGATGGGGACTTGGCTTATGACACCTCAAGGAACAGCTTCTAACAGGACCTGGGTGGCCGTGAGCCTCGGCAGCAACTACAGGAAGGCTGGAGCAAGTGTAAGCCACACAGGGGTTCCCCACCTCCTTGAGAGGGGTTTAAATGACTCCCCTGGATACTCAGAAGAGAAACAGAATTCAAAGGTCCTCCCTGAAATACTCAGAAAAGTCACCTCTAACAAGAACATTAAAAGAAAGTCTGTCAGAATACTACCAGTTCACATAGCCCCAACCCCAAAATGGCTTCCTAAATACACACTCACAAGTCTCCAATATTCCAGGAAAAAGCATCAGCCAGGCCTAGTGACACATATCTACAATCCCAGTACTCAGGAAGCTGAAGCAGGATGATGGAAAAATCTGGACAAGCCTGGCTACCTAGTGAGACTTTGTCTCAGAGAAGGGTAAAAAAAAAATCAAAACACAAACAAAAAACTATTAGGAAAAAACTCAATAAATAAACCAAATCTCAAGAATTCTAGGGATGTCTTCATAAATTAAATTCATAATCTATATCAAGTTGCTACTCAAATCAATTAAACTAACCTTGTTTTTATCTCTATCAGTCAGGGAGTATGGAAAGAATGTGGGCCTCAACAGTCAAAGATGTGGCTCCGTCTTGGCCGTGTTTGAGTGTGTCACTGTCTCTGAACCTGAGCGAGTACTGCACAAAGGAGAGCTGCTGGTATTATTCCCTGTCCACTGGGCTCCGTCAGGAAACGGGGACAAAGGGTATAGATCTGGAACTGCTCCAATGTGAGGTCTCCCATAGTACCAGGAACCCTGGCAAGTGAGGTGAACGAGGCATGGGGACAGGGGTTTCTTAAGATAGTCATTTCAGTTAATGAGCCCTCCCAAGGCTAAGCTTAGAAAGTGATCTATTTATCCTCCTGGGGCCACTTGCCACCCTCCAAAGGTGAGGAAGTCAAGGAACTTTGGGTAACGCCGCATAATGGGAAAACTTTCATTAGGCTGTAATAGTATCAGCTTATGCCTTTAGGAAAACTGTGAAAAATCACCCAATTCCTATTCAAATAGCTCCTCCTATTTCTCAGTGTGGGTCAAGAACACCAAATGAAGAGCGATGTAGAGCGATGTCATCTAATTAAGCAGCTTCCCTCCAGTTCTCTCTGTGCCATCATTTACCCTGACACAGTTACATGAGGCTCTTATTTTCCAGAAGGGTATCAAACTTACACTTTGAGCCCTGGGGAATCTTCTGTGTAGAATCGCCACATCCCCCCAGTGCCTGCCGAGGTAGTGCGACCTGCGCTCCTGGTTCCACAGCTGGCATTTTTCCTGAAAGAGAGAAAAATATTACTACTGGCCTTTTTTCAGAAATTCTTTAAATACTGTCTCAAGACATGCTTCCATTATATGTGAGGAGAAAACTCCTTTGCCGGTATGAACTCAAACCCTACCTTCACCCCGCTGAGCATATCTACTGTGGACTGCGTCCATATACCAGTGAGTACAGTATCTGCCAAGTATTTGCTGTTCACCATTTTATAAGTGAGGATAACTGACTCAGCATTGGCTAATCAAAAGCGTTTAAAATAAAAGATCACACAGGCTAGCAAGTGGCCAAGCTGCCACGTGAACCCAGTTCTGGTCCCAGCACCCATCTGTTGCCCACAACATCCAGCCTCCTCGCTGGACTATGCATCTCAGTTTCTCCTCATGGGAACTTCTGTGAAGCCAAGTAACAACCCCTGTCTATAAACACCCTTAACCTAAATGATCTCATTTTAAATAACTACTTTAAAAGATGTTTTAAAATTACTGTGTTTATTGCAAATGAAACAAAAGGTATCAAGCTTTAGTCAAGTCCCCAATGCATGTGATGAATGAGAACTCTGCAATCCGCTTTAGCCATTTGGACACACTGACCATAGATCTTGGAAAGGCAGAATGTGAAAAGGCAGAAAATATCCATCCAGAGCTTGTTCCTTGCAAAGGGACCAGGGTTGACGTGCTGGGCCGTGTAAGAGGTCGCCATGGCAAACAGCAGGCTGAAGATGCTGACACACAGGCCAAGCCCTGAGTTGGATTGTCCCAACTCTGAAGAACCCACTTTCCTAGCACTATCCTTCTGTGCAGGGACACTGCCAGCCCCACTGCAAATCTCAGCCCTGTGCTACAGTGGCATAGCATGGGGCTGAGCAGAAAGCGGCAAGGGGAGAATCCAAAAGGCATCTTCTTCAGCCCATTTATCACAACCTCAAGTCTTGGGTGAGGGGGGGGGGGGGGGACTGTCCCACCAAATCCCAATATCCCCTCCCTTAAAGTCCCATTCCTGTATGTATAGACTGATGATCTTGATTGGTCCTAATGCTCATCACACCCATCATGGCCTTGACATGATACTTGGAATGCCTGTCTATAGCCCAGGGAGCTTGCCCTACTGTGAGTGGAAGAATGGAGCCTTGGTTCCAGTCTTACTCTAGTTGTGCTCATCAAAGAATTCTGGAAGTGTCAGTACCAAGGACCTGGGTCTACTGTACTAGAGATTTCACTTAGGTTACATTAGTTGTAGGTTACAGTAGCCTGGAAACTTACAATTCCAGGTATGACTGTTTCTATGAGAAAATTGATTGTAAATAGCAAACAATTTTGTACAGGGGTTTGCAGAGCCCACGCCCCTAGAATCTGAGCTGAAAAATAAAACCAGTCCACATAGAAAGTCACTGTCTGAGTCACAACTAGGACCTGTGCACTTGCAACTATCCCCACAATCTCCAAATTCAGTTCTGTCTTCAAAGCTGGAATTTTGGGATCCTCCACGGTAATCACCATGGAAGATTTTCACTTCCGCTGGCAGTGGGACAGAGCAGAGGATCTGAAAATCAGGGCCCTTAAAAATACCAAAATGTACTAAAAATACCCTTCATTCCCTCATCGGAAAGCTAAACAGAAGTTCCTAACAGAGTCCACTTTAATCTCTTAAATTTGGGGTCTGTGCTTTTCTTCTTCCTGTACCTTAAGCAAAATGGAATTCATACATACCACATACACGCTTTGGTCCACCACAGTGGCTGTGGCAGTTGCTGGAGCAAACCAGCTCACTGACCTCAGACTTACACTTACCCTCCCTTTTGCCTAGGCAGCCATCCTCCCCAGACCATGATCTGGTCCCATGTGTCTCACATGTCTCTATTCATAAGCCACTCATCCTCAACACCTACCCAAACTAACTCTCCATCCCCATCCTATCCCCAATACCCTCCATTGCCCACCCAGCATCATGGATTTCATAACCTTCATCACTTAACATTGTATTATTTATTTGGCTTATTTATGGTTTTCTGCACTGGAAAATAGGTTCATGGAAGCCCTGCCTATTTTGTTCACAGATACTTTCTCCAAGGTAAAGCACTGCTTGCCATATAACAGATTCAGTCATTATTTACTATCTTAATATCCCTAATTATTCCACCCTCTTAATATCCCTAATCCCCAATAATTCTGCTAGAACACTGTGCAGCACTTCCGTTTATGGTTTCCAATGCATTACCGATCCTTTTCATCCTTGAAGCGATTCCTTTTACACTGCATTATGCAGAACAAGGACTCCAACCCCACGTTAACCTCAAATCCTACACATTTCTTCTTTGAGGCATTATTACTGTTACTTTACTCATGAGAAATGCAAATCAGCATGCTACATAATACAAAGCATTATTAACCACAAGCTTCAACTTCTTTTTGGATTTGGAAAGAATGGAAATACTCTTAAGACAGCCACGAGCAAATACCATGTTCTCATAATATACTGCTTAACCAGCAACAAGCTTCTAGGAAAGAATCTTGTACAGGCTCTCTATATATATAGGCTACCTAATTTCTTTGGCCCTATAAAACTGAACCCTAAAAGATGCCATCTCATATCTACTTCATTTGTGCAAATGGCTATTTTATTTTTATTTATTTATATTTATATTTGATAATGTGATAGATACCTTCGTTTTCTTTAAAAATTTTCAGATAGCCAAACTTCCCTACCACTACCAGAACAATTCCCCAATGCACTATGCATGTCTACACAACATGTTTTCATTCTAGCACAAGAATCTCTGAAACCACAGGTAACAACAAAATAGTACTTACTCCAAGCCATACAACCTAAACTGGAACTCAATGGACTTTCCTCAACTGTCTTAGTAACAGAACACTCACAATCATTCAGGACAGCCTCCCCATTTCTGACAGTTCTATCACAACTTCCTTCTCTGAGCTGACATCTGCTTCAAGTATGTTCAAACCTTATCTGGTTAAGATTTACAACTGCATATTTTGATTCCCTCCTATAATCAATAAAAAAGCCCCATCTTTTAATCCTGTTTTTTGTTATTATTATTTGGTACCAGGATCAAGCCCAGGACCTGTGTATACTCTCTACTACTGAGCTACAACTACTAAATCCCCAACCCTTCCTCTTCACATTCTTCTTTTTTAAAAGTTATTTTTATTTTATGTGTATGAATGTTTTGCCTGCATGTGTGTAAGCGCGCCACATGTGTGCATCCAGAGGCCAGAAAAGGGCGTCAGAGCCCCTAGAACTCCATGGAGTAAGAGATGGCCAGCCACCACATGGGTACTGGGTCCTCTGCAAGTGCAGCCAGTGCTCTTAACCACTGAGCCATCTCTCCAGACCCCCACCTCCTTCACATTCTCAAAGATACCCTGATTGCTGTGCCATAATTTATGACAGGAGCTGGGAAAGAGATGACTTGGGAGATTCTCTATCAAGGTAGAGTGGTCTTGTGATATTAACAAAATGATATGGAAGGGAAAGCAAGGACATATAGCAACTACCTACAGAATTGAGAAGGCATCAGGAAAAAATTATCCCTGAACTTAGTATTGGAATAGAAACAGAACCTGGGAGCTGGACGCGATGGCACCTCACCTATAATCCCAGCACTTGGAGAGGGAATTTAGGATGAGTCTGAGTTCAAGGCCAGCCTGAGCTACATAAGACTGTTTTAAAAAAAAAAAAAAAAATTAAATAGATAGATGTTGGGAAGGGTGCTGGTGGCCTAGAGGATAATGAGTTCAGAAAACCAAGTTCAGAATTGCTGGATTACAGGAGGGAAACCAGCTAGGACAGAAAACTGCCAAGAACCCTGGTGTCCCTCCTCACCCCCACCCCACCCCCTTATCTTCAGCATTCAACCACAAGAAACTAACAGAGAGCCTAAGTGGAAGAGTGCGGGCGGGAGGATGGATTGTAGTGTTAATGAACCGAAGAGTTAGGCAGCAAATGCAAAAATGGGTGAGCGGCTGCGGGCTAAACTTAGTCAACGGAAATGGAGGAGGAAAAACCTTTCCTGTAAAGTCTGGCAAATGCCTGGTTAGAGAAAATACAATAAAAATAAAAAACGGAGTTGGATGTCCTGGTTTCGGGTAAATAAGTGTACAGCAGCGACATTTAGATATACGGAGATATGGCTGGGGATGGGAAATTAGGATGACAGACTTGAATCAGACGAGTTATGTGAAACTGAGTGCGTATAGGGCAAAACTCAGCAACAGGCACCAGCCTAACGACATAAGTATCCCCAAAGTTGTTGCTGACCCTATTCTAATTCAACTTCTCTTTTAACTAAAGTGGTGCGTACTACTGAGCAAAGGGTGAAGTGTTGCCTCCCTTCCAAAAGGCCTTTAACTATATCACCGCCACATCAGCTGGGACTCAAGCGGGTCTTCACGGAGCACGAATTCTAGAGCCCTCCACCTCTTCCGCAAAGGCGCCGGCCGCCAAGACCCTTACCTCTGCCGGACGGTGGATCCCGCCGCCCGAGCGGCCACCGCTTTGCTGGGAGAGCGTCCTGAGGAGCCCACGTTGGTGCCACTGGGGGTCGGACCCGGCTGCAGAGGGAGAAGCAGACCGTGAGCATCGCGCGCCCTCCCCGACCCCCGCACCCGACCCGGAGGCTCGGGAAAGAATCTATGCCCCAGAGGAAGGGGAGATGCAAGACAGGAGCCAGAGAGCCCCCAGAGATGTGGGGTCCGCGTACCATCTTGAAGCCGGAGACCAGAAAAGGTAGCAGGACAGCCCGAAGTTGCCGACCGCGGCAAAGACCCGGGGAGAGACCGGCTCAGGTCCCGCCCCTGGCCGGCTGGCAGGGTCCTCGCAGAAGCTAGGACGCCTGGGCTGTCCTAGCATATGCCTGTAGGAATTCTACCAAAGACGGCTGCGCCAGCGGCTGAGTGGAAAGTAAAGACCTTTGGCCTCTTCTGTTTGGCTCACAGAGTCCTTCGTGGGGCCTTGTCTCTAGCAATGGAAGGCTTCGGGAAAGGTCAAGTGAGAAATTTAGTCAGGCAGTTATTTGGAGCCTATAAGTTTGCCGCTGATGTGGCCTAAACTGACGCATACGTAGTGGGGCAGGGTCGGTGTTCATTGGCCAGCTGGAGCTGGGGCGGGACTTGCAGAAGCCCAAGCCAAGGGCGCAGGTGCGGCCGCTCTGCCATGGCGGAGAGGCAGGGCCTGGCAGGTGACCCGGTTCCCAGCCCTTCTGTGCTGTTCCTGCACCCGGACCTGGGCGTGGGCGGTGCGGAGCGGCTGGTACTGGATGCTGCGTTGGCGCTGCAGGCGCGCGGCTGTCAGGTGAAGATATGGACGGCGCACTACGACCCGGGCCACTGCTTCGCGGAGAGTCGCGAGCTGCCAGTGCGCTGCGCCGGGGATTGGTTGCCGCGCAGCCTGGGCTGGGGCGGCCGGGGCGCCGCCGTCTGCGCCTACGTGCGCATGATCTTTCTGGCGCTCTATGTGCTGTTCCTCGCCGACGAGGAATTTGACGTGGTAGTGTGCGATCAGGTGAGGGGGGGACCTCTGTCCGTGGTTGCAAGTGACTTGGAGAAGTCCTGTGGGAGCGAGTCTGTCTCGAACTTTAGTGTGGAATCTATCTTTAAAGTTGCACGTCGCAGAACCCTGTTCAGGAAACTTTCATCGAGAGCCCTTGAGATAACTGTTCAGATAGTTGATATAGTCCTCTGACCGAAGTAGATAGACCCCGGGGGCCGCCCTGAGGAACAGTAGAATTAAAGTCGCCTTTAATCACTCTGCTTCTAACTCCGTTTGGTCTTCTCTGTTACTGCTATTGTCTACTTCCAAGTCCCATCCGTCCCACTGTCTCCAGTCTTCCTAACCCCGCCACTCCGGTATTTAGCAGTGTCATGGACTAAAGTCAAGCTAAACCTGTCACATCCCCACTAAAACTTTAACGTGGTCCCTGTTGGCCTTTGAGGAAACTGCCAAAATTGATTTGTTTTGTTCTGGCTAGCTGTGTAGCTTCAGGCTAGCCTCCAACTCAAGACCCCTACCTTCCAAATGCTGAGATTAGAGGCGTAGGCCACCAGGCCAGTTGGAGTCCAAGTTCTTGGTAAATAGCATTCATCTGGATCTGCCCTGTAGTCATACTAGACTTGTTTCTTAGGTGTTTTCTAGCCGCGGGTATCCATGTATGTAAGTGTGTATACTTGAATGTAGAGACCAGCAGTCGGTGTTAGGTTTCTTTCACAATCACTCTCCACCTTTAAGACAGGGTCTCACTGAATCTGGAGCTGGAAGATTTTTGGCTAGACTTACAGGCATGCACTGTCACTCCTGGCTTTTAAGTGGGTACTAGGCATCAAACAAGTCTGCAGAGCAAGCACTTTACCAACTGAAGCCATCTCCCAACTCACATTTTTATATCGATAAATAAAATTAGGAGCATAAGTTCATATTCTGATGTACTGTGATTTTCTTCCTGCATTTTTCCCTTATCACTAACATAGTGACTAGGTCTTTTTGTGAATAGATCTGTGTCGTAATGAACATCCTTATACACATAACCTTTGAGTAAATTCCTAGAAGGGAAACAAACCATGGGTCAAAGAGTTAATTCATTTTCTTTGGTTTGTTTGCTTGTTTTGCGTTTTGGTTTGGTGTGGTGTGGTTTTTTGTTTTTGTTTTTGAGACAAGGTCTCCCTGTAGTCCCAGCTGGCCTGGAACTCGCTGTGTAGACCAGCCTGGCCTCAGTCTCACAGAGATCTGCCTGTTTCTGCCTCTGCTTCCCAAATGTTGGGATTAAAGACATGTGCAACCATGCCCTGCTTGTTTTTGGTTTTTGGTTTTTGTTTTTTGAGACAGGGTGTCCCTATAGCCCCAGCTGACCTAGAACTGCTATGTAGACCAGGCTGGCCTCAGACTCACAGAGCTCCACCTGCCTCTGCTTCCCAGTGCTGAGATAAAGGTGTGCACCACTGTACCCAGCAGTGCAGCTCATTTTCAATGTCTGTAGCTGTTTCCAAATCACCTCCCAGAGGTGTCACTTATTCTCCCAGTCTCTGATAGCATCTGCTACCTCAGGCTCTCACCCACAATGGAAATTTTCAGCCATTGTAATTTTAATCAAACTGATGGGTAGAAAGAGCATCACATTTGTAGTTGGGCTTGTTTAGTTCTGATCCTGAGTTACTCTGAACCAGCCTGAGGAAGCTGTATACTTGCTGTTAATGTCGACTTGTCCAAAACCCTGTGAATCAGTAATCACCAGACAGCTGAGATATGACAGAGAAAACATTGTGGCCTTGGAAGTAGGAGACCAGACCTGGATTCGAATTCCATAGCTACTGCCTTAAGAAGCTTTGGATAAATTACAGTGTGTCTCTGAAGCTCACCTTCGAGTGTTACTTAAATGAGCTGAGGATTAAGTGATTTGTAAAGAGTAAATAATAAGACAGTCACCAAGAATGCCAGTCTGTAGTTCATGCTCAGTAACTTGGGGTAATATTTATTGAGTGTATACCATGTGATGAATCATGTCATAATTACAGAAGTCATATGGATTCTTTAAACTGTAATTGTCATTATGTGATACAGTTGTTCTAGTTTGTGTCTAGTTTGTGACAAAACACTGACCAAAAGCCACCTGGGAAAGAAAGGATTTATTGCATCTTACACTTCCAAGTTCTGGTAAGAACCCAGAACAGGAACCTGGAAACAGAAACTGACATACAGACCACAGAGGAACAGCTGCTCACTGGCTTATCTGGCCTGCCCTTAGCTGTTAATTATACAATCCAGGACCACCAGCCCAGGAGTGGCACCACCCACAGTGGGCTGAACCCTTCCACATCACTTAACAATCAAGAAAATGCCTACCCCCCCCCCTAAAAAAAAAAAAAAAAACTTAGCCAAGCATGGTAGCACATGCCTTTAATCCCAGCACTCAAGAAGCACAGATGGGTGGATTGATACAGGTTTCAAGCCAGCCTGGGCTACATAGTAAGGCCGTGTCTCAAAAAAAAAGAGCGATCAAGCTATCTTCCTTCACAAACCAATCTAGTGAAGGAATTCCCCAGTTAGGTTCCCTCTTCCCAGGTATGTCAGGTTGACACCCAAAGTCAACCATGACATTTTGCCCCTTGTCAACCACGGCATACACAGGCTTAATTTAAACCATAATCTTCGCTTTTCTTTGTCCCCAAGATCTCACATTAATATCATTAAAACATAATATCACTAAAACACAGTACACCTTTAAAAGTTCCACTGTCTTCAAAATTCTGTCACGTAACAATTCAATGTCTCTTTAAAATAATCCAAAGCCTCAACTCTGTGCTCCTGTAAAATGAAAGGTTGCATACTTTCTTATTTCAAAAGGAAGTAACCCGGCACACGCGAGCAAAACCAAAGTCCAGCAGTGCAGCTCAGTATTCAGTATTTGGGATTCACTTGCAGCTTATGGGCTTCAAAAGGCCTGGGCAGCAGTGTAACATGAAGCCCAGAAAGGAGATTACTTGATCACAGTCACACAGAGCTAATATTCAAACCCTGCCAAGCTTGTTTCTAGAATCTGCACTAGACTCCTCTAGCTCATTCATAGTTCCTTGGGAAGAAGAAGATCCTACAGCTACCGTGTCCAGTATACTAACTGCAAGCCACACATGGCTATTGAGTGTTTAGAGTGTGGCCAGGCCACTCTGAGATTCACTAAAGTGTAAAATAAAAACCTAATTTTGAAGGTTTGTATGTGTGCGTATTTGTGTGTGTCCTTGTGCATGTGGAGGCCAGAGGTCAACATCATCGGGCATCTTTCTCCACCCCTTTCCACCTTGTTTTTGGAGACAGGGTCTCTCACTGAACCTAGGCCTCAATGATTAGGCTAGACTAGCTGGTCAGCGAGTTCCAAGGATCCTCCTGTCTCTGCCTCCATAGCACACTGCACTCACAGACACACACCACCATGTGTGTTTTTAATTTTGAAAATTTAATTTCTGTTGGATAGCATTGTTAAAGGGGTAGCCACTGGACTGGAAGCTTTAAATGGTTCATATGCATTCTGCAGTCATCTCGCAGCCTTTGTACTGGGGCCTAGAGGGGCTCACAAAGCAGAAGAGCCCACAGATGCTTCTAGTTGGGGGGCCGTTGAGATGACCAGTCACTTACGTGCTGTTGATTTTGCTTGACTAGGTGTCTGCCTGTATCCCAGTGTTCAAGCTGGCCAGACAGCGGAAGAAGATCTTGTTCTACTGTCACTTCCCGGACCTGCTGCTTACCAGGAGAGATTCTGTTCTTAAGCGGCTTTACAGGGCCCCGATTGACTGGATCGAGGAGTACACCACAGGCATGGCAGACTGCATCTTGGTCAACAGCCAGTTCACAGCTGCCATTTTTAAGGAAACCTTCAAGTCCCTGTCTCATATAAACCCTGATGTTCTCTACCCATCTCTGAATGTCACCAGCTTTGACTCAACTGTTCCTGAAAAACTCGATGACCTAGTCCCCAAGGGGAAGAAATTCCTATTCCTCTCCATCAACAGGTACGAAAGGAAGAAAAATCTGGCTTTGGCACTGGAAGCCCTAGTCCAGCTGCGTGGAAGATTGACGTCTCAGGACTGGGATAGGGTTCATCTGATCATGGCAGGTGGTTACGATGAAAGAGTCCTGGAGAACGTGGAACACTATGAGGAGTTGAAGAAAGTAGTCCAGCAGTCAGGCCTTGAGCAGTGCGTGACCTTCCTGCGGTCCTTCTCAGACAGACAGAAGATCTCACTCCTCCACGGCTGCACGTGTGTGCTCTACACTCCAAGCAATGAGCACTTCGGCATCGTCCCTCTGGAGGCCATGTACATGCAATGCCCGGTCGTTGCTGTTAATTCAGGTGGGCCTTTGGAGTCCATTGTCCACAACGTCACAGGCTTTCTGTGTGAGCCTGACCCTGTGCACTTCTCAGAAGCAATAGAGAAGTTCATCCATGAGCCAGCCTTAAAGGCTACCATGGGCCTGGCTGGACGAGCCAGAGTGATGGAGAAGTTCTCCTCGGAAGCATTTACGGAGCAGCTCCACCAGTACGTCACCAGGCTGCTGGTGTGATCAGTTAAAAGTCTTTATAAGACAGGTGGCATTCACTATGATCGTTTTTATGGATTGTAGACCCACTTTGAAACCAAAAAAAGAAGCCTAGAATTGAGTGCAGGAGAGATCTTTTTAAAATGTGACACGCTTTGAATGTGAGGCACCAGTGTACCACACCTACCTGTTTCTTTACTGAAAAACATCTTTAGTGCTGTAATCATTCCAAATCTTACCAGTGTTGACATAAAAATGTTAGAAATGTACCAACAGACTATTTTAATTGTATTTTTCTGGATTATTTTTCCTCCATATACAAATGATTGATCATACTGTGCCTTAATTGGCTTTAATAGTTTAAGTCTTACCATTGTCAAAGTTGAACGATTTGACTTCCAGTTATACTGGGAACAGAGTTACTCTGGTTCCCACCTTCAATCCACTTAAAGTGTTCTCTGTCGAATATTGGAAATTTTTTGTTAAAAATTTGCTTGAATATCCATATCAAGAGTGCTCAGTATTGTTTTTACAAAGATAATTTGTTGTATTTATGCATACTGAGCCTTAACAATAAAAGATGTTTGACATAAGAGTCAATAAAGCATTAGGTCTTGTCTTCTGTGATCCATTTTGGATCACAGGTAACTGAACCCAGAAAACTAGGGTAAACTAAACAGCTGACATAACAGGGAATGTTGTCATATGTGTTATGTGCACTGTGTTGCCTTGTGTTACTGTGACAAAATGCCTGAGGTAATATGGAAGGAATAAGGGTTTGTTTGGGCTCAGGTTTTCAGAGATTTTGCCCATGGTTGCTTAACCTTACTGCTTTGGGCTGTGGCAGGACAGTGTGTCATGGCAGGAGCACGTGGTTGACGCCTGTTCACTTCATGGCAGCCAGGAAGCAGACAGGAAGAAGCTAAGATCCTAATGTCCCTTTCAGGGGCATGTCCATATACCCCACCTTGACCTAATTTCTTTCCACAAGATCCCACATACTAAAGGCTCTGTCAGCTCCCAGTAGACAGGCTGGGGACCAAGCCTTCAAGACACAGCCGTTTGGGAGGCATTTAGAAACTAATATTGTATATCTTGTTTCAGACCTGTTTCTTAATGTCACTGGAGTCACCAGCTCTATTGATATTTGTATTGTATTCACTAAACTCCTACCAAGTTTAGTACACCAGTGTTTTTGTCCTTCAAGGCCTGACTTAAATCCCATTATGTGAAACTTGCTTGACTGGTCACCACTCACCTCTCAAACTGGAAATGAGTTCTCCTTCCATATACTCTATGACATTGTCCAGTCGTAATGTTCATTATTTACCTGTAAGAATGTAACAGAAGTCAGTAGTCAAGTGTTCATACCACCTCTAAGCACAGAGCCTAACAGCCTGCCTGACCTTGAGAAGAACAATGTCTGTACTTCAACCTCTTCATTTCTAAAGTGCAGTAATTATCCTGTTGTGTTTCCCTCATAGACTGGTTGTAGCAGGTTTCAATGATGTATACATAATGCTTGGCCTATGGTTTGTAAATGTTAGCTGGAAAGATTGAAAGCGACTAGTTACATGTGGGTTTGTGCCACACTGCCAGATGAATCTCTTGTGTCTCTTAGAGGACAGAATTTCAGTTTATAATCTGTATCAAAGGAGTATTTTAACCAGGTGGCACTGTACCGAAAAGGAGCTTTGCAAAATGAGGATGTGGTTCTGTGGAATTTTGTTTTCTTTAGATATGTAAAAACTCTATCCAGTGAAGTATATCTTCCCTGTTTTGTGGTTTGGTACACATGTCTAGGAATTAAAGACTTTCAGAAAAACCTGGTGGCTGGGGCCATTTAGTTTAGGCCTAGTGGAACTGGTTATATGATCCATGGTGGTGGTTTGCTTGCTCCAGTACTAAATCCTTTGCTTATTTGACTTTTTTTTTTTTTCTTTTTTTTTTTTTTTTTGGTGTTTTTGAAACAGGGTCTCCCTCTAGCCACAGCTGACCTGGAACTCACTATGTAGACCAGCTGACGTTGATCTCACAGAACTCCGCCTGCTTCTGCCTCTGCCTCCTGAGCACTGGGATTAAAGGTGTGCACCACCACACCAACCTTATTTGACCATTTTTATCATTACAAAGTGGACTGCCTATTGCCATTGTCCTGAGCCCCAGTGGATAACAAGGCTTCACAGGTCTGGAATGTTGATTCCTTCCTCCTGGCCAAACACAGCTGAGGATGGAGCTTTGCCCACAAGGGTGTCCAAAGCTTGCAAAACTTGTATGCAGTAAGGAGTAGACTGTTGCTTAGAGAATACGCCCTTTTCGTTCAGGGTAGGAGATAAACTCAGTAGCCATTCATTTAATCCTTACGAAGCAGCCTTGAAAAATGGGCAGAGTCTCAAAACATCTCTAAGTCCCACTCTGCCCGCTTCGGTCAGCAGTGCTTCGCACCTCCCTATCACAGCCTGTCTGTCCTTGTTCAGGCCAACAGGCTCAGAAAGGCTTTGCTGCTATTTTACCACTTCATCACTGGGGAAGTCTGAAGGGAATGTGATTCTCCATCATCTCCACAAAGTCCAGACAATAAAAACATGACCCCTAAGGGTGTACAGTTGAAAAGAGGCCACGCTGAGACCAACCTCTCTTACTCAGGCCCCCACACTGGCTACGATTCCTGTCTGCTCCCTTTTGAGATTCAAAAATATCAAGCTTCATTCATGCGTGCACAGTCAGGGCTAAGATGGTCTGTGTATAGAGGTCACCTAACTGCTCAGTGACAAGTGTTATTGCAGGTCTTCCTGCCTGACTGTTCCAATGGCCCCTGAACTACAGGTAACCTTTGCAGAGCTCTTCCTGGGTTGTGTCTTTTCATAGAATCCTTCAAAGGTAATTATCAGGCACCTTTAGAGGTGGGACGTGTGAGATGCACAACTGGGCATCAGTGGAGCTGTAATTCAAGCCCAGGTCTTGGTACAACACAGGACACATTTGTCGGTTTATGGATTCCTCTTATGCCTGGTTTACTCCACTGGCTTGGACATCATCACTTTCTTAAAACCACCCAAACACCAACGCCTTCCTCGACTCACCCAGTCAGTCCTTCCCTGGTTGTCCTGTGCCCCAACAGCTAACAGTAGGTCTTAAACACCAGTCCCCAGACACCTCCAATCACTAACTGTCCTGTAAGCTCCTTTTTGTGTATTTCCAGCTCCCAGAATTAGACCAACTCCAGTAGTCACCCAGCCTAATTTGCTCTTACACAGGTGAGTAACAAGGCCAGAGCAACATGAGCCCTAAAGAAAGTGGCCTGAGGATAGAGAGACAGCTGCAGCCCTCAGGTCTTTGTGGACATCTCTCCCAGCCTCTCCTCTGTATCCACAATCCCTTATCTCCTGCCACTCTGAACTTACTCCTTAGTTCCTACCCCAGCCCTCTGGAGCTCTGTGCCCTGTGGAGTGCCACCACCCAGACACCAACACCCTACTAAATGTGGTAAGGAGCTTCCTGACAGGTGAGTTTTCAAAACTGGCCTTGATTATACAGCAGTTGTTGGATGGGAAGAGAGGCATTGACCAAGCTAACTGGAGCCAAAGGGTGCTAGAGCCAGCAGCTGGGTTTTGCTGCTGTTGTTTGATTTGTTTTTTGTTTGTCTACTACATTTTCTAAAATAAAATCCCATCAGTTAGTTTCCTAACTTCTACTGATAATCCATAAGCTAGTTTTTTGCCAACAATAAACTGTCGGAACTATATATAATAAACTTGGAACAACATACATAAACCTCAGTGATAAGGGAAATGAGATAAGTAGACCAGACACAGGAAAACCAAGACCACAGGGTCTCATGGACTCTGAAGAAGCTGATCTCACAGAAATAGAACACCAGAGGCAGGGAAGACTGAGGAGGGAATAGGGGGAGATTTGTCAATAGGTAAAAAGTTACACTTAGGAGGGATAAGTTCTGGTGTTCCAGACACAGGAAAGCTGACCGTGGCAAAACAGAAGAGATTATGAGTGTTTTCACTGCAAAAAATTACAAGTGTGTGAGGTGGTGAAGATGCTCACAGCCCTGATTACTTCTCAGTGTACATGTATTCAAACCACACGGAAGACGGTAAGCATGTACAGTTAACATGTCAACTAAAAATGTTTTAAGCTAGGTATGAAGACACATGCCTTGAAGCCATGCCTTTAGGAGGCAGAGGAAGAATTGCTATGAGTTTGAGGCTCATCTGCTCTACATAGCAAAGTTTGAGACCAGCCAGGCTTACATAGACCCTTTCTCAAAAACAAATAAGGGGTGGACTATTTAGTTTTTGTTAGCACATCACAAACCAAAGACACCCAGGAGAAGAGAACCTCAGGTGAGGTATTTCCCCCATCAGAATTGCCTGTAGGCTTGTCTGTGAACAATTTCATGATTGGTAGTTAATGTGGGAGGACCCAGTCCACTGTAGGAGGTACCATCCCGGGCAGGTGGGCCTGGACTGATAAGAAAAGTAGCTGAGCAAGCCAGCAAGCAGCATTCCTCCGAGGTTTCTGCTTCAAGCTCCTGTCTTGAATTCCTGCAGGCTCTGGCTTCCCTCAGTGCTGGACTGTAATCCTTTCCTTCCCATGCTTTGATCAGTATTTTATCACCATGGCAAACTAGGACAGGTGGCTCAGCAGGTAAGGTGCCTGACAACCCAAGTTCAATTCCCTGGGACCCACCACAGTTGAAGGAGAAAACCAGCTCCCTGAAAGTTGTCCTCTGACCTCCACAAAGACACCATAGTACATGCACACTGCTCCCCCCCCCCAACAACTCTGTTTTTTAAAAAGAGGAAAGAAATTAAGATTTAAAACATTTGGGGCTGGAGAGATGGCTGGAGAGCAGTTAAGAGCACTGACTGCTCCTGTAGAGGACCCAGGTTCAATTCCAAGCACCCACATGGCGGCTAACAACTATCTGTAACTACAGTTCCAGGGGATCCAACGCCTCCTGACCTCCACAGGCATTGCATGACATGGGTGCACTTACATACATGCAGGCAATACATTCATACACATAAAATAATATTTTTAAAATCCATTTTTATTGAATTTTTCCATATTTCATACAGAACATCTCAATCAATCATCTTTATACCCCGTCCCACCGGCACCCTCCCATATGCCCCCCTCGAGCCCATATACTCTGTCATCCCTGTTAAGACCCACTGTGTCAAGTCAGTGTCTCCAGACTTTCCCCAGTGCAAGTCCATACACTGAGGTCTAGTTGGCCTATCTAGAGTCTCTTGTTTTAGGAAGATCAGCGCTTCTTCACCTAGCAGCAATCAGTTGCCAATATTTCTTCAGATAAGACTGGGGTCTGCTGTTCATTTTCCTGGTTCTATGCTGGGTTTTTGTCTGCCTGAGTTTGCATGGGACTTGTGTATGCTGACACCATTGCCATAGAATCATATGAGCAGGTTCCCAGGAGCCTGTAGGACTCTGTTTCCATATGGTCATGCCCATCCTCCCTGGCTCTTACAGTCTTTCCGCCCCCCTCTTCCTCAATGGTCCCTGAGTCTTGGGTGGGCTTGAGGGAGCTTCAGTAATGAGAACTAAGAGATTCATTAGTGTCC